TCAATTGACTTTATTTCGCACCAGGGTGGGAAATAAAGCCAATTGACATTATTACCTTTTCAAAAGCGAAATAACCTAAATTTCTCAAGATGGACATATATTTGTTCAGACATCAAAGACTCAAGTACTTTAGACAAGACAGGCAAGATACTAATAGGACGAAAATCACAAGGACTACATGCAAATTTATTTTTAGCTACCGGAATCACAGTTGTAACCTTCCATGCTGATCAAATTTTAGCACACTTTGAGGGTCAGACACAATAAAATAATCAAGCAGACTTTGACAACTGTTATTTCCATACCTTGTAGGTATAGATGTATTAAAAAACGATAATCCAACAGTCGCGACGACATCTCTTAATCGAGAACTGTAGGAATCGTGACTAAGCAAATTAACATTGAAGTCTCCACAAACAATAATATTTTCATAATCAATAGCTAGAGGGGACCGAAAATAATAAAATAATCACAAACTCTACAACATTTATTAGGATTGTAAACACATGACAAAAGTACTTTACATACAGAGTTAGACAGCTCAACAAGCAAGTATTCAGTATTACCATCGATTGATTGGGGAATCAGCTTCGTATTCAAGTATTTTTTACAATATATCGCTACCCCCCACCCTTTTTTCCATTTCTGTCAGACCGGAAAAGTTTATAATTTTTAATATCATAGTGGGAGTCACTAATATCAGTTTTGAACCAGGTCTCAGAAGCGCAGATTATGTCTACGGATGAAAATTCAAAAGTATTTCTAACCACATCCATTTTTTCCGGATTTAGGATGCGCGCATTAAAGTGCACTATATTAAATCCGCTCTGGCGTCGGCATAACACATTTAACATAGCAAGACTACTGTCATCAACGCTAGTCGATTCGCTGTTGCTTACGTTCATAGTGGAAAATAAAGTAAGCAACTTTAAAACAACAATAACAGACAGCGAAGCTAGACAAAAACAAACAGCATAAGAAGAGGTGCGCTATCTTAACAATATTAACAAAATATACGTGGTTGAAAAATAATAACAATAACAAGCGGCAACTAGTGAAACTGCGCCAAGTCCTCTTTACACATAATCTTTGTCGCCAAATTATTTTTCCCCTTCTCTTTCTGAACATGTACATAGCCACGGACTGTGCGTACAGACGAGAGTTTACCTTCTCTTCGCATTCTAATGGCCTCTTGCAGTATGCGCCGATTCTCTGGAGTGAGACTCTCAAAAATATGGAATGTACCATCAAAACCAATAGGCATTTAACTCGTCTACGGTACTCGCCAAAGGCACGTAGAGTGCGATTACGATCAAGCGGTGAGTGAAATTTTATCACAATAGCGCTGTTGCGGCTGGGGGAGGAGGACTTCGTTCGAAATATATCGCGAATTTGAGGAGATAGAAAGTCGATTGAGACACAA